CGGAGGAGAGCGAAGTACCAAAAACCACCTGGCAAAAAGAAAAAGCGTCCGATTTTTTTTCCCCGCCGTAAACACGATTTTCCCTGCAGCCTGTGCTCTCCCCGCTCCGCTTCCACCGCATCCCCAGGGCCCCTCACAGCACCCACCTCCCACCCGGGACTCCCGCGGGAAAGCTCCGGGCAGCAGGTCCCCAAAGGACCTTCACCTTCCTTCTGCTAATGCTAGAAGAATCAAATACACTACGTCCTTTATTGATGAAGTGTGACAGCCCCCAACCGAAGAGCAAAATAAAGTAACTGTAAAAACAAAAGTCCATCACAACATACCTAGCAGAAGCAGCAGACTACTGCCAGAGAGGAGACTCCCTCAAGTGCAACTATGATTAAGAAAAACTTGAGACATTCACATAACTCCTTTAAGCCAGAAGTATCCTGAAGAACACAGCTCAAGTATTCTAAAGAATTTGAGTCCTCAGCCTAAATTCAGCTTGCAAAAATAAAATCTGAAAATTGTTCATCTGGAAAGCAAGTTTTCAAAACCTATGGGCTCTGTTCTGTCATCAGCCTGCAGACTTTAGGAATTAAGTATGAGAAGTTAAGTCACAGTGGCTGCACGGGCTTATGAGCAAAGAGATCCTACCTCCAGGATTACTTTGCTAAGTAGGGGTTGCAATTCTCATCCTTCACTTACCGTCTTTCCTGCAAACCTTCACTAAATGTAGGGTCACCATTCCCAAGACAAATGAAAAGAAAACAACAAAATAGAAAACAAATTTTATTGAATGAACAAAAGTCTAAAAGTCTCCCATTTTTGGTTAACAAAAGCAGCAACCTACAAAACCCCTGCATTCCATGACAAATCTTTTTATGTCAAAAAAATTAATCTTTGAGCAGGTATGAACATTTGTATGCAGAAAGTTACAACTATTGAGATGTGTCTGGGCAAACAACTGGACAAATTTCAAATTAGGGAGGGGCCGGAGGGTGAAGAAAAAGAGACTGCACACGGACACTTGAAAAAGCTTGAATTGTTTGCTGGCCGAGAGGTATATCATCAGGGCTGCCAGCAGTTTTCAGCACTTGCATCCCTTTCATACAAAATTAAAACAGCAGCAGAAAAATGACAGAGGTTTTTAAGACTGAACAAGGGAAAGGACTGCCAACAGAACGCAGCGTTCGGTTAGCTCATTTGGCTAATGGTAAATGCAGCTTTTTGATACTGAATTTCACAAGCTTGTGTTAAGCGAGTCTGTGCTCTCCAGAGGCTCCAGGGTCAGAATTCAGCCACTGTACCCACAGAGCAAAAGCAGTAATGAAGGTCTGTCCTTGGACTTTCCCTGCCACAGGTGACTCCTCTCAGACTAAAACAGGCATTCAGCTAAGGGAAGAGAAACTGAGACCTGCTTGACAAAATATGATTATCTGACAGAATTCTACTGGGAACTAAACGGAGAATATACATTCACTTTGTCACTCTGACCAAATTCTCTGACCTCTGTGATTTTTTTTCCCTTTTCATTGGATATGGGCAGCCTTAACAAAATGGAGTGTTAAAAAGGAAGGCAATGTCTACTTTTATCCTTACACCATTTGCAGAATAACCCTTTTTATAAAGTCGTATCATAAATTTTCATGCTTTTGAATACTATTTTCAATTAAGTCTGTTTATTACATTGACTAATTTCAATCTGCTCTTTTGTTTTCACAGATCAGGACATAGTACAATTATTTCAAAAGAAATGATTGATTTTGCTGTCCTATTTCCTTTTCGTTGCAAAAGTACAATAATCTGTGCTTATCAGTCAGTTTATACATCAGATCTCACCCACTACAACCATATCATCATTTATTTAATAATTATGAAACTGTATCTTATACCATAATTTCTATTCATATGTATTCTAGGACTAATAGATCCCTAATAATGTCTTGATTAAAACTAACTTTAATATATCAACTCTATTATCTAAAGTTAATTTTAATCATTTCCATCATAATCATTATAACTCTGATACCCACTGTTCCTCCTCTCACGAAGATTAGATTTTTTCCATGTAGATTCTTGATGAAAGCCAGCACTGAAAGATCGACCCAGTCGTCCATGTTGTTTCTTAGAGATATTGTCTTCACTCTCAGATTTGGAAATTCCTTGTCCTTGTGTTTGGGATTGTTTATCCTGTCTAACATTTCCAAATGGAAAATTCCAAGGACCAAATCTTTGCCAGTTCAGTCTCTGAAAGGCAATGATGCAATGAAGATTTCCTCCAACCTAATCAAAGTAAAAAGGTTCTTTGTTAAATGCCCACAGGCGCATTTCTAACATACATGGATAGCTGAAATGAACATCTTGGCAGGTAACAGAATGCTTTAAAAAAACAAAAAAACCCCATAACAATGCACAAACAAAAAATACACCCACAAAACTATATCCACAATTTGGCTCAATCAATTTTGATTGTTTCCCAGATTCAATCACTGCCTGCCTTCTCATCTTTTTAGGTTATACCAGCCCATGAAAAATAAAAAGGATAACTTATCTCCTGCTAGTCTTTTTTACTCTCCAGCCACCTTCACAAAAATTATCTGTTCTGGACCCTTCTCATCTTACCGAGAGAGTCTTCCACAGGGTCTCCACATTTGAAATCATCTCTTCACCTATTATTTCTCATAGACTTTCAATCTGCAAATCAAAAATATATCCCCCTCCCACGAGATACAGCCCTATCTATAGGAAAGCAAGCTATACGTATTGACAGTAAATCCACACAAGAGAGACACGTAGTCTTTTATGTTTGATACTACTCGACTGTACTTCCTTTCCCACATACAAGTAGCTAGGCGGCCATGCCCCAAAAGGATCTGTCTGTAGATATTTCCATACTTGCTGAGCTACATTTTAAGCCAGCAAGGTTAAATACTGTGACCAAATACACTGTATACGCAGATATCCTGCCTCATCCTAGCATATGCCGGGCTACTGCTGTACTGTATCTTGTCCTGGAAGTAAATATAAATGACTCTGGTATGTAACTACCCACATTTTACTTCTGTCTTCAGCAACACTTTGTAACAAACTTCTTTTGGTAAAGTTATCTTGCACTGCTGAAGTATGAATAAGTTTGTGAATAATGCACCATGGATTTCCTGCCACCTCGGTAAGTTTACCTTACCTTCTTTGTTTTTCGATGCTGCAATCCTCTCTCTAGGTGTCGAATGTCTAGATATTCTGGATTTTGAGTGTTTAGGTCAGTGACAATATCTGCCCACCTACAGAATAAGATTATGACTACTCAGCTGGCATTTAGGAAACATTAACACCACCAAGTACACACCCATGCAAATACAGATCTGCAGCTTTAAATAGCTTTACCAGTGATTTAAAGATAAACGAACGTGCAAAGATACAAAAGCCTCAGTATTATAGACATCAAACTAGATACAAAAGTGTCACTTTTAGTGAAAGCATTCACAGAGATTATTCCTGCTCTTCGGAAACACCTTCCAAACCAAATAAGAGCACCATGAGTCATTAGTGCTGTTGCTTACCCTTACCAATTCATCAGTTTGTGAAAGGAAGAAGCAAAGTGGGGTTTAGGCAAGCAGATGCATTAGCATTTACTTTATTTAATCCTCTCTTACCCTTTTATATTATTTTGTTCAAATCCTCGTTTTTTTTCGCAAAATCTGTTTTTACCAGACAGCTCTCACCATAACCCACTCCTCCATTTTATTTCATTCCCAGCTGTAATAAACTATCAATTCAATCATTCCCCATTCACTCAGCTCTTCAGTTTCATAGCTCCTTCTAGCCCAACTGAAACAAATATCCCCATATTCCAGACCTCCTTAAGCCTACACATCACCTTTTTGTTTCTCTCAATGTCTGATCACCTGCTTCTCTCTAACATCACTCTCCAAGTTCAGAAAAATCCATTTCTACCCCAACCTTTGCCCTCCTACCTTAAGCACAGAACTTTCTGCTAGCTGTCATTGGGACTGTAGCAGGAGAAACAATGTCTCTACAATCAAAAATATTACAGATGTTTGTATTCTATATTCAGAAACCTTTTCCTGTGCATTTGTAGCTTATATACCACAGGACAAAATTCTGTCAGCGGGATGTACAGTACGCCATTTCTCAGCACAGCAACCACATTCATAATATAATTTTTATTTTGTTGCTGCTCTTAATCTCATTAGTCCAAAATATCCAGGTCTTTACAGTTATTGACATAGCCACATCACTGACAAAACAAAACAAAAAAGATATCTGGGTTTTAGGTACTCTGTTAGGTCCGACTGGCTGTGAAACGGTTGGATAAGCGCTTTCAAACAATTTTTCAAAATAATTAGAGAATAAAGAAGAGGAAACAAAGCAGAAGTTGTGTGATTATTTTTTTTTCCCCGCAGCTCTCTTCCTCATGTATCAAGAAAAATCACTCCATAATTAAGTCGGAGGGTGGCAGAGAAGCTTTTTGCTAAAACTTAGGTTTTGGCTACGGAATTGGTTTCTTGAGAAATACTATTCTTTTGCACTCTTCCCTCATTTCACAAATTAATATTAAGCATTATGAACTAGTATGTCAAGTAAAGCTGAGAAAGCTGTTCTATTAATTTATCATGACAAATATACCTCATTGATGAAATTTCTACATACCACCCTCTAGCTCTCCTAGTCTGTATGTCTAATTTAGACATCAACTTCATGCGAGCCACACCTCATCCTAAACGCATTGCTTTAATGCATAGATAAGCTAGTAACGCAACAGAGCACAGGTTGTACCTGCACCTCAGCTAGGAGGTCTCGGCAGCAGCATAATATCCTGTGAACACCCTGTGCCTGTCCTCAACTGCAGCAAAAACTCCTCCGAGGTCCCTACAGCCTTTAAGTCGCGACTGGCATGATCACAGGCAGCCAAGGTGTCTTTTCTTCCTGACTAATGTCAGCTCTGTCACACTCAAACAAGAGAAACAGGCTTTGGCTTTCAGCAGCCCACATCAAACAGCAGAGCCAGCCTTAAAGCTAAAACATGGGGTTTCTCACTAAAGCGCTCATTTCTGTTAAAACTACAGAATATTCATTCAAAAGAACTAAAAAGTCCCTTGGTGACCCTTAGTAGAGAAATACGAATTGTTTTGAAAGAAAATATATTCTTACTACGTAACATACCTTTTACAGTGTATTGTTGGATGTTTCCTGCTCGGCTCTCCAATTAAGATCCAATATTCTACTTCTTGCTGCAAGACACGACCTCTGTTCAATAGAACATACAATCCTAGTAAGATTTATTGTGCATACTAAAAAGAAAAAGAGAGGTTAACATTCTATTATTCTTTTTAGGATTTTCTAACATTTAAAATCGTTTCCTCTGCCAAACTAAAAACCAGCTCCCGTGCTGGTTTTAAAGTGTTTGCAATTGCATACAGGGAAACTTTTTGTTTCACAAGGCCTGGAAGCAAGATAGAAGCTATTGCTTATCATTTGGGAAAAAGACAGTTCTTCATAAAAAACATTGGATGAAAGGATCCAAAGTGTTATTTTGGATCTCGTATAAGATCCAAATATAAATACATACGTAACAATGGAAATAAGAGTTGTGGAAAGCCACACAAAGGTGGAAGAAGCGTCTTCCTCCCTATCTGTGATGTCCAACAGAGTTATGAAAGAGCCCCTTCCACTATTTTTAAACTATATCCCAGATGACAGTTGTTACTGTTACAGGGTAACCTGTAAGAAAACAACTGGTAACTTCAACTGCTTCCTCCTAAGCATCTAATACCACATATTAAAAACCAAACCCCTCAACCGATACTAATTCAAGTTGGTGAGCAAATTCCAAGAAACGCAAAGCCTGCAGTAACCTTGTCAGGGAAAATTTGTGACAGACATCAGGGCAGACTGATGAGATACAGAGGACTGTTCTGCAACCTCCTGCGTGTACTTATCCCATGAAAAACTACCTCAGTTTCAACTGTGGCAAAACCTGAGAATTTTCTGCCTAGGGTATTAGACAGCATATGGCCTTACTGCTTGCAATGATTTGTTTCCTTATAAAAAATTCCCTGTAAAATAACAACGTATGCCATCATTGTACAGATGGGAAACCAAGACACAGGATAGATTAAATGACTTACCTAAAGTCACACTGGAAGTCTGTGGTTGAACTGGGAACTGAACCCAGGTCTCCCGACTCCAAATCCAGCAACCTAAGATCATACAGGAAGTCTGTGGGTGACCTAAGAACTGTCTCCTAAGCTCAGCCTAGCAACCTATCCACCCATTTCTTTTGGAACTTAAATGTTTCTTAGCTTGATTTCAAAAGAAAAGCTTTCCTGTGTAACTAGAATGCAAAAACAGGTAAATAAGAACTACTGGAGAATCTATTGATAGCACTTCTGGAACCTAAACATGTTTTTTCCCACTAAGATATCAGAAAGTAGGAAGAGAACAGGATGCTCTTCTGGTCTGACGTCCAGGCTAAAATAAGGCTATAAATGTTCCTTAAACTCATAACTTCATGTTACATTGTTAGAAGAGATCTGTTGTTAGGAAGAAAATCTAATACCCACTTAGAAATAACACCACTAGTGACTAAGAATCCATTTCAACCATGGGTAAAGCATCGAAATTGGTGTTCTCGCTCATTACTAAACAATATAAATTCAAACTAGATAGAAGGCACGTTAAGTGTCCACTCACTGGACCAGATTATTTCTCAAACAGCATTTTTGATATAGTAAACAATTATTTTTTTTAACTTTGCTCTTCCAGTGTAGATTCTTAGTAACTGATCAAGTAAGCAAGCCATTAACCTTTTAGTAAACTAAGGCAGCCTGATGTGTTGGATTTCTATTTGGGGTATATTTTCCACACTCTTCTCACTCACACGGCATGTCCGTGAACGCAGGTTTAATAAAAAACTTAATAAAAAAGTGTGCTCTTTTGTTCACACACTAAAAGCTTTCATTAACTCTATGCTTAGACTCACACTGGGAACAAATCAGATTCAGATGATTATGCTTTATCACCTGCAAACAATGATCATTTTGAACTCTAAAAGTAGAGCTAGCATTCTCCATCCCTTGATGCAGCTCTACATCTTCAGCACAGCCAAAGGCAGGCTGCTTGGTAAGCAAAGCACAAGACTGAGGCTCATCTTATACCACTGACCTACTCTTTTCCTTGTTTAGCAGTCCCCGCTATTGGTACCTGCTAGTTTTGTCTTCTTCTGCTCAACGATACTACTAATTAATACTGACCAACACTGAACCTTGAGAAAGTCCAGCAGAAACCTCCGATACATACTGTGTTTGCAACTACTCCAAGAGAAGGAAGACAAGTTTAATTTACTTTGTTTTACCTCATTTACAGAAGCATACTACTCTCAGCATATCATACAGCAGTGACTTAAATGCCTTACAAAAGCTAAGCTAAATTTCCTCAAGATTATGAAATTTTTCAAACTTAAAATGTGTGTTTTTAATGCAAGACTTTCCCTAAACTCAGTAGGAAGATCAATGCTGTTATCTTCTTTTAAACCTGTATTTAATTGAAACCTCTATCAACTATTCCATTATTTTATCTTGAGTAATGTCACCCTGACAAATCTGAAATTGTTCGGGTAATTCTATTTTTATTCTAAAACAACTGGCGTATTAAGTTTCTCCTGGTCTTTTCAAAATGCTCCAGCATTCCAAGCATTGTTTAAAAAAGCCAAACATACTGTGACAGTCCAGCGAGCTCTTTTAGCTTCTCTCCCCCAACCAATTTTTGATAACAGATTATTTGGATATCTTTACTTTTCTAAGTCTTACACTCCAGTAGTTGCAGTCTATCACCATTATCAGTCAACACTGCAAAAAAAGTACGTAACCACCATGCCGCAATACCCACGCATCCCCTCTTCTCGCCATACTCAAACACTGGTTTCTGTAAGCGCAGATTTTATCATGTCCACTTTCTAACGGATTAATACACTGTAGGCTTTTTGTTTCTAGTCTATAAAGAAAAATCCCAACACACACACACACCTCCCTACTTCTTTTGTTTCCCCCCAAGTTCTCTGGGAACAGACTCCCCCTGTAATTAGCTTTTTACTGTTTTCCCTTAAAAAACATCTGGCTTTTTTCAGCCCATACAGTTTTATTTTTCAGACTAGTTACCTTCACTTGTCCTTCAAGTAAAAAACTGCCCTCTCTGTATCTGGCTGAAAGGTCTTTAAACAATTTCTTAGTACCATTCACCAGTTTTCTGTTTAAGTTCTCTCAATCTAGTCTGCTTAGTTGTGTTTATTTTTAAGCCAATCCCTTCAAATCGCAGAGTAGTGTTTTGCTAGTTCAGACATAAATGCTTTTACAACACACAATGAAATGTTATTTAGGAAGAAAAATGGTATCAACTTGCAGTAAATTTTTCTGTAAGTTTCCTCCACTAAAATAAGCATAAACACAGTATCTTACCTATAGGCTTTACTAGCTTTTACTGGGGTTGCTTCAAATCCAATTGGGCAAAAATAATGGTTTTGGCAATGGTAGATGTAGGCCATGGATTCGTCTTTCAGTCCACGTGTCAGCTTTGCAAGGGCCCCTGCAGCTACAAAGAAAGAGCAGGTTACAGGCCAGGGTGCTTTGGATCCTGCATACCAGTCAGCAAAAAAAGATCTATTTGATAACATAAAATAGTTACACTGCTTTTGAAATTAGAGGACACAACCTGACAGGCATGCACAAAACACAGTTCTGATTTCAAACTTCTTACTATTTAATTTCATGCAGGTACTGAAAAATAACATCTGCCACACCGTCTGTATTAGGGAAATGCAACAGAAAGTATGCATTGTATTTAGATCAAAGTCATATTACAAATTACTTGTTCTGCCAAAAAAAAAACAAACCCCAAACCAAATCACCAAAAGTATCTTTTAACCTAGAAAATACACACTGCAGTCCCACTGCCCCAATTCAGATGTAGCACACATCAATGATATTACTGAAACCCCTGAAAGCTTTCAAACATTTTGGTATTCCGAACTTCTTGAAGCTTCCTAGTCTCAGGAACACGTTCCACATTTGGGCATACAATGTTTTGTAATGCAACTGCAGCACTCAGTTTCAGGAAAAGACTAGAAAAGGCACCGAAACGTGACAGAATTCTCAAATGGGATACCAAGAACAGAAAATTATTTCCACTTGAATCATCTCCCTCAAAACTTTTCAGTATGCTTTTATCCTTTTAAATAACCTTTCAGTTAGAAGATAATTACCCAGACTATAGCAAAGGCTAATATGCGAAAGCATATTTTTTCTTTAGGTAGTACACTTAAAAGTAGACATAAAAACGCAGCTTCGTAAGCTAATTGAAAATAATCACCTAACTTCTAGAGACAGATGTTAGCTAAAGTCAGGCACAATGGATGAGTTCACTCACTTTAAAAATGCATTTTTAAAAAGTATAAAACATTTATTACAGACATTAATACTTTTGTGCTGTACATTCAGAATTTTTATACAACACAGGTTTCTAAAACACTGAAATAAAAATGTTCTGCTCCCCCAGTGTATTATAGCAAACACATCTTCCAGGACACTAACACAGAACTGGGAGTGCAGCATCCTCCTGGATACCTTAAAATTCCAGTTCTGTGATAGCAGAAAATACAGCACAGAATATATTTTATCAAAATAAAACTACAAATGAAAGTTTGAGCAAAATAAGAGAAAAAGTAAAACCAGAAAAATCAGGCAACTTGGAGCTATTTGATAGCTTATCTCTAACTGGAAGCACTACTTGCAAAAATTGAGCTGTCAAATGCTACATGTTGCAAGATTTTGTCAGTTTATCTAGTGTAAGGTGAATGCTTTAGGATTAGCTACGTACCGGTTTCTCCAGCTGTCTTGTTCTTCCCGTGAGGTTTATACAGAACATACGAGCATCCCTTGATATGGAAGTGATCATTTATTTGCCTAAACCATCTGAAACAATAAGCTCAAAGAGTATAGTAACTCAGGAGTTATTAAATGCAGTTTTCTTTCCTTCCACTTCTCCTCTGCTTGATAGTTCAGAAAAAAAAGTCTCAGTGTGCTACTAAGTACATATTACACTACTATATAGATCGTAGATGACCATGGTACCCTAATACAAACAAAATTTAACATATCCTAGAGAGATAAATAAATACTCAAAGCCTTTTCCTTCATTTTGCCTTTTCAGATCTGACATAGGTCCATAATAATCAAAGGACTGGATGTGAAATGTTGGTCCTGTTGTGTTCACTCCAGTCACCTCTAACTTCCAGTTACTCAGCCTTTAGAAAGACACCCAAATTCTGAAGTGTCAAGCTTCAACCATGATTTGTAAACTACAGCAAGTGAATCTTCTAAGACACTAGAAGGCAGGACCCTTCAAGCGAGACTTTTGCATATTATGTTGGGCTGCTGTCACGTAAGCTTCACAGAATCACAGAATCGGTTTGGTTGGAAGACACCTCTGGGATCACTGAGTCCAACCTTTGCCCTAACACCTCCATGTCAACTAGATCATGGCAATAAGTGCCACGTCCAGTCTTTTCTTAAACACCTCCAGGGATGGTGACTCCACCACCTCCCTGGGCAGCCCATTCCAATGCCTAATGACCCTTTCTGGGAAGAAATGCCTCCTCATTTCCAGCCTGAACCTCCCCTGATGCAGTTTCAGAGTATGCCCTCCTGTCCTCTCACTGGCTGCCTGGGAGATGA